TCAGCTTTTTTTAAATATACATCACCGATAGATCTAGAAACCTGAAAGGCCAAGCATTCCATTAACAAACTCTCACAAAAAGTTAAGAGGCAGCAGAACAAACCAAGGAAAACCATAGCAAGGAAATTATAATCTTGCACTGCTGGACAGATTAAATGTACTTGTGAAATGTACTAAACCTCTCTATCTCTCATTTTGGGGAACAATGGGCTGTTTTTAGTAGTCTTATCACAGATAGAATTATGACAGTGCACACATTCTGGTCAAGTTCAAGGTTTGACAAAAAGTATAGCAGTTGTGGCAGGAAATTTGCACATAAAGGAGAATTGCCCATGGCAGCGATAGAATCTCTTCACATGTGAAATCCAAGAAATTAGTCGTGCTTCTAGGTTCACAATTTTTTTGAGAAGCTTTACAATATTTATAAAGATTCCGCTTGACAAGTGAGAACTTGCTGGGAAGTTTCTCAACCAATTGACTAAGCATCAGAAACCAGTTTAAACCATCACTCAGAATTTTTACTTATAATTCATTCTCTCTTTAAAACCTGGAAATCATATAACTCTAAAACACGGGGTAATTAAAACCTAGCACGTCAGGATATTTCCTTTCGCCAATCCTCTTTGGAAACAAAGCTCATATACCTGTGCACAGCTGAAAAGTCATACAGCTAAAGTGATTCCCTAATAAAGCCTAAAGTACAAAAGTAACCAACTCCAGGATCACCACTGAGCTTATTAGTTCCAGACCTGGAATATATGGATAAGTGTTATCCACGGATAACCATCAAATCACTTTCTTGCAAGAGATCAACATAAAATCCAACAAAATTTTTAGATTCCATCACTTTATGCAACAGTAAATCATGATATTTTACCCCTTTCCATCAACTTTGATAATTACTAAGTTCTCTCATAGTCAAACATTTTTCTTATTTCCCTTTCTCTTTTGGCTTTGCAGATACATCCATGCATCCAACTGAATAACGGGCATCCTTCCCTACTCAGCTCCACCTTATCTTTACCACATGGGAGGAGAAGATACCATGCAGCTGATATATCTACTTCTTTCTAACAAATTAAACCCCTTTTTTCTCCAGAAAACTGCCCTTGGAAATGTAACCATATAAATACATCTTCACCCCAAAAACATTAAAGACCTGTTTTCAGTTTTCACTTTTCAAAAAGTAAGCACAAGTAGATAAAACATTGCCCCAGGTTCATGCCTTACGTTAAGAATTTATTATCAATCAAGCTAGTTAAAACAAACTTTCAAACATTCAGAATTCATAAACGGCATCCTCTATAGTGCTCAACTTGGACAAGAACTGGTTCAAGCTCTCTATGCATCTTGCAGCACAGATGAATAAAAGTAGTACTTGCTCCTTTTTTTCAAATGGCTATTCTTGTAGACAAAGCTGATTTAAGCCACAAGTAGAAGCAAGTTTCAATGTCACAGATACGCAAAAGCATCAATGTTTAAAAATGGCAACATTAACTAGTCATCTTAACAGTTAACTATTAAAATTAAAAATTGTTTGCATAGTGAAACTTACCTGTATGAGACCT